GTGTGTGTGTGTGTGTGTGTGTGTGTGTGTAATGTTTACAGTCCTCAGAGCACCACCATTCTGTTTGGTAGGTGATGAAATGGGGGCAGCTTCCACGGGGTCAGTTAGCTGGCCGGTGGCAGAAGCATAGTCTCCATATTTTGAACGTTGTTTCTTTATATGCACCAATCACCGGTCCTCTCCTCTTGCCCACCCTGCTGTACAACTAGAGGCTTGATGGCAGTGTGGACTTCAAGAAGAACTGGATTCAGTACAAAGAAGGATTCGGACACCTGTCTCCTACCGGCACCACGGAGTTTTGGTTGGGAAACGAGAAGATTCATTTGATAAGCATGCAGTCCACAATCCCATACGCGCTGAGAATACAGCTCAAAGACTGGAGTGGCAGAACCAGGTAGGGCGTGGAAGGGACTTTAACTCTTGGTTGGAACTTTTGGCTGCAAATGGACCCTTTGCAACTGGCAATGGACCAGTGGCAAAACATCCAGGCAAGTGTAACATTTGTATCCAGGCTCTTCCCTAGGAGGACATTTGGTCCTTGGACAGCCTGAAGAGCCAGCTAGGCTCTAGGTCTCACCAGTATGGATCCGAATGCCCCAATACAATTCTCATACTTGGGAACATTCAGAGTGATTTCTATGGGGTGTTAAATGTGAACCAGAAATTGAGCATGAAATTAAAGCATTCAGATTCTCCACTCACATTGTGATTATCCAGTCTGCCAAACTATGGACCACCTTAAAATCAACTGATTTCTGTGCTGAGCTCCAGCCTTCCTAGGCTGAGAGATATCTGGAGTGTGGATTGTGAACACCTAATTTAAGAGAAAAAAAATTATACAACCTTCTTTTTTTTTTTTTTTGGTTTTCTGAGTCAGGGTTTCTCTGTGTAGCTTTGGTGCCTGTCCTGGAACTCACTCTGTAGACCAGGCTGGCCTCGAACTCACAGAGATCCACCTGGCTCTGCCTCCCGAGTGCTGGGATTAAAGGTGTGCGCCACCACCGCCTGGCTTTCTTTCTTTCTTTTTTTTTTTTTTTTTTTTTTTTTTTTTTTTTTTTTTGGACAACCTTCTTATTATATATGAAATAATGAAACACGTTCCAGTTCCAAACACATTTTTAAATTTTTTATTTTAACCCCCTAACTGTCGTGGTCAGTAGCAGGCATTTTTCTATGTGAGCATCTTCCTTTTCCCAAGTATGAGATACCGAGGAAGAGACTAGATAATTTCTGGAAATCTCTATTTATTCACAAAGGGCAGTTATTCTCTCTGCTCTGCAGAACTATAGCTTCCTTCACGAATTTTCCCAGAGTAGGTCTCTCTGACTCTGGTGACACTCATTTCATATATCACACAGGGTTCATGGCTTCTGTGATGTTCTAGAAAGTCTCTTTTTGCCAGCACGTCATTGCTTTGAGAAAGGAGAGCCTTTGGTGCCCTCACACTTCAGGCAGTACTGATCGATATTGGACCGCGGATCCTTCAAATTGGGGAGTCTCTCATCGTAGCTCATTCTTGTGACCTACGATAATGTGTGTGCAATGACAACAAAAGTTAAAAGAGAGGAGAAATAGTTAGATTTGCCAGATGTTTTCATTTGATAGTAAGATTCTGTAATTAAAAAGCAAGTACATTCACGGAAGGCTTTTAGATCCATCCTGGGTGATGAGGGTGTGCTCGGGACTGGTGCACACAGGGATTGCCTAGATTTGCAGGAAACTTCACTCCCTTTGTCTGTTTGGGCCTCGTGACTCAAGGTGTATCATCTCCATTCCCTCCTCAGCACTGCAGACTATGCCATGTTCAGGGTGGGGCCTGAAGCCGACAAATACCGCCTGACCTATGCCTACTTCATTGGTGGAGATGCTGGGGATGCTTTTGATGGCTATGACTTTGGTGATGATCCCAGTGACAAGTTTTTCACATCCCACAATGGCATGCAGTTCAGTACCTGGGACAATGATAACGATAAGTTTGAAGGCAACTGTGCTGAGCAGGATGGATCTGGTTGGTGGATGAACAAGTGTCATGCTGGCCACCTCAATGGAATTTATTACCAAGGTATTTTTTTCTTATGAAGTTATGAGCAGTGTGTAATAGACATTTAATGGAAGGTGATAAACGGAAGCAGAGAGATGAAGAATTATGATAAACACAATGTGGTTTTTGTTTTATAGCTCTTTATTTGAAATCAGAATGGGATAGCAGTAATTATCCAACTAGCATTATCTTAAATAATATTAAGCTTTTGCCTACAGTGGTCACCTTTACAGTCCCTCCCACTCCTAGGAGATATCAGTGTTTTGTTATTTGCTGAAATCTCAACGTCTGAATTGGGATTTAGGGCAGTGGTGTCTCCTTTAGACCTACCATGTGTATGACATAGATGAACTAGCATTACCATATCTATTCTTGTGAACACATTAACCTGACTCAGCTGTTCATGAACTGTGTGTCAGATACAAGCAATGGGCAGTGGATATATGTTAGGAGAAATCAAATAAAAGGCAAAGTACTAGTAAGAGCAAAGGTTCATAAAAGCTTGAGCAGAGGGTCTTGCTTGGGGATTGTAGACACTTGTTTGAACATGGCGAGGCAATGGTTTCTGTAAGGCTGGAAGGGTTTAGAACACTGATTTCACTGACCACCTAGCAGTTTTGAATGAAGAAACACCAGGGAGATTAAAAGATCTTTTACAAAATTAGAACACAGCCCCATCTACTGACCAGAAACTGCACGGTGATATAGAACAACTTTCTAGGGATACTTTCTAGAGCCCTTCTGATAGCATCTTCTATTAACCAGAAGATTATGCTCTCATGCAATGTCAGACCACCTGATCAGGAATTTGTGGCTCCTACCATAGTAACCTGAATGCAGAAGGATTGTCTCCAATAGCAGAGAGAGAGAGAGAGAGAGAGAGAGAGAGAGACAGAGAGACAGAGAGACAGAGAGAGACAGAGACAGAGACAGAGAGACAGAGAGAAACAGATAGAGGAGTTCCAGCCCTGATGATAATGGATAAACTTGAAGTATGTATGCGATCACAAAAACAGCTTATTGCTTTTTAGATCTCTAGGGATGTTTTTGGTTAGGAGGAAATGTGAAAATGGTCATAATGATTCTAATGGACTCTGATGTAAGGAGATGTAAGGATAAAGATACATGCAACTCTGACTCATTGCAGGTGGTACTTACTCAAAGTCATCTACTCCTAATGGCTATGACAATGGCATTATTTGGGCCACATGGAAAACCCGCTGGTATTCCATGAAGGAAACCACGATGAAGATAATCCCCTTCAACAGACTCTCCATTGGAGAAGGACAGCAGCAGCACATGGGGGCGTCCAAACAGGTCAGCGTGGAGCACGAAGTTGACATTGAATACCAATAAGTCATCTGCCTAGAAGGCTTAAAACATGCATATGAAGTGTTCACTATTAGCTTCTATTGGCCTGTACAAAGTTCCAATGATTTCCTCAAGTTTTCTTCCACATACTCTTATTCTGTTTATTATGTTTAGTTTTTCTTAAAATGACACTTATAGCCCTAAATGGAAATGAAAATCCACTTTGGACTGTATTTCTAACTTACTGGAATCAGAGTTATTAAAAATTATTTATTTGAGGAGACAACATTTTGTATGATCTTTGCTCTAAATATTAGTAAAACTACTGTTTTATTTTATGATCAACTATAATTACTGTTTTGTTGTTTTTATTATTTCTTAAGTATTTTAGTATATACTAATGAAATAAGAGAACATTTTAGAACTTCACATGTATGATTTTCCTCTTACCTCTACATCATATTTAATTCTTTATTAAACAGAAAGTTATGTTTTTTAATATATCTTTTGTTTTATTATATATTCATAGGCTGGAGACGTTTAAAGAACATTTCAAAGCTGATTTGCTTTTTTAAAGGACTTTATCCAAGCAGAGAAATATAATATTTTTCTTATGGGACAATGGACTTTCAAAGCCTCACTTCATTTTAAGAGTTAACGGAATCCATGTTGAAAACTCCATTAGCAGTTTTATGCTGGCGATAATTTTTCTACATGCATTTCAATAAACATTTTGTTTCCTAAGCTGAGATATTTGGTGCCTTTTATTGACCTTGGAAAGCATCCCTTTCCCTCCATCAGTGTTGGTTGCTGAGTTTACATGGTATGCTACACAGAGGATTCGAGCCAAGGGGAATGGAGGAGAAACAAAAAGCCATGGCTCCTGCCCTCCAAGGGGTGTGAGATGCCCAGCATACAGCAGTTCAGGGTGACAGATGCAGCAACGTGATATGGGAACATAAGCAGAAGTCACAGAGTCCCAGGCATAGAGCAAAGGTACATGGTAGGCCAAATACACACTACTAGAGCAAGCTATTGGGGGATTCTTCTAGAAGAACCTTTGTTCCAAGCACATAGAGCCAATATCTCAGAACTGCCATCCAGAGCAGAAAGTTGAGGGGGCAAACTGCCCGTCTCACAGGTGTGCAAGAAGATGAACAGAAAGAGCGCCATTTATATGTTATGAGTGAGGGATATTGAGATCCTGGGAGCTTTTAGGGATCAGCCAAGGCTGGGAAACTTGCAACAAGTTACTATGCTGAGTGATTAACTTGTCGTATCATGAAAAGATTAGCTTGTGCTGAAATCCTCAGTTTTAGCTTTGGATAGTCTTACTTTCCACAGTTTCCAAATTTGTTCATTTCCTGATTCTCGTGACTCCCCATTGAAAAATATTCGGTAATGATATCACTACATTGCTTGACTTGCTAGAATAAGCTCATCCTAATTTTACGGTTCATTTTGAAATCCAATGAGTCACAGAAAATGGATTGATTTCAATTTTATGCTTATTTGGTTATTAATATCTACTGGTGAATCCTGAGGGTTACAGTTTCAGAAACAAGGCATGAGAAATATTTCTAGACTCAATTAGACCATGTCGCTGCGAGTAATGGAAAAGTTTAAGCAATTGTCTTGATTAATCAACAACAATGAAACTTATGTGCAACTAAGAGTTTGGGGCCTTGTACAGATATGAAGCCTCCCTCTGCAGCTCAGAATCACTGATAACTATTGCTCATCTCTCTCCTTTACTCCTCTGAGCACCAGGAAGCCTCAAAACGGGGAGGCTACATGCCAGATTCCAAGGTCCCACCCCTTATCTCCAGATGGACTAGAGGCCCAGGACAGTGGTTGAGTTTTTGCTAGCATGTGTGACATCCTGGGTTCCATCCCCAGAATCTGCCCCCTCCCCCCCCAAAAAAAAGAAAGTCTTGTCTCCATGGCTTCAATCTATACAACTGTAAGGAAGAGGTCTTGTGTTTACAGGCAAGAATAATTACTCATTGGCCAAACACCATGGTCCCCAGTCCTTTTCCTGCAGCTCTGCTTCAGGAGCAAGTTTCAGGGGTGTGGGGGTGTTGAAGGTGAGTGGGAATTGAAAAGTTACACTAGCCAGGTGTGATGAGCCATATCTATAATCTTAGCACTTCGAAGGCTAAGACAGGAGGCTCATGAGTTCAAGATCAGCCTGGGCTATGAAACAGGCCACTGCCTCAAAAAAAAAAAAATCTCAAGGGGAAAAAAAGGAGTGAGGAGAGAGAGAGGACAAAAGAGGAAGGGGAAAAAAGGAGGAGGGAGAAATGTAAGTGTAGACAGCGCATCTGAGAGCTTCGTGAGACCTTAAATTCTCTCACTTTGACTCACATCAGCGTGAATTACCCAAGGTATTTCTGCAGTAGATTCTTTGGTTTATTCAGATGGTAGATGTGAAAAACTTAAGGGCACATTAAGCTCTAGGAAGGATGTCTAGCTAATAATTCCTCGTCTGTTTGATGAAGCTTGGGAAGAATGAGGGAGGTTGATTGATGGCTTGGTGGGTAAAGCATTCACTCATTGTCCGCGTCTCCAGAACAAATATGAAGGCAGACTCACTGGTACCTACCTGTATTTGGGGCTGTGGGGAGGTAAGAGGCAGAAGTGCAGTTCAGGCTGCTCCTGGGCCAGCCAGCCTAGAGTATGAGAGCCTGTCTCATGTAATGTAGGAGGTTAAGACCAACACCAAAGGCTGTCATCCTCTGACCTCCACACATACACCCCATCACATGTACACTACCCTCACTCATATGACCATATACACACATGGAGGGCAGTGTTAAGAAATAGAGTGAAGTGCAAATATTACAATAAATGTCAAAGATAGTAAGATAGTCAAAGTGAATGGAGAATACTGAGTGCCAAGGGACTATACTCTGTGTGCCTCTTTGCAATGTGCTCACCATGGGAGGCAGGATCTGAGAGACTCGTATTCCTAGCACACCATTCCTTCTGGTCTATGCTGAATCAATCTCCATATTTATTAATTATTATTTATTCAGATTTCCTTTCCTTCCCATCTTCCCCTTACTGAGCAGTGTAGTGAGTCTAATAAATGCGACTTTACCTACTTGCTTTTTTGCTTACCATAGAATATAAGTGTATACTGTTTTAAGTTAAATGATGTTTTTCTATAAATCAGTGTTATTGAGACTGAGCCTCAGCTTATCTGTCACTAGTCTGCATTAAATACAAAAATCTAGGATTTTCATGTAGAAGAAAATTTTGTCCATACTTTGCTTAGCTTTGTATTTATTGAAGTGTTTTCACCTTTTGGATCTAGCATAAAAAATGGGCCCTGGGTTTTATGTAGCTTTTTTATTTATTTATTTATTTATTTATTTATTTATTGCTGTTCTTTTGTTTTGGTTTGTTTTTTTTTGTTGCTGTTTTTTGTTTGTTTGTTTGTTTGTTTTTGTTTTTTTTGTTTTTTTGTTTTTTTGAGACAGGGTTTCTCTGTGGAGCCTGGCTTTCCTGGAACTCACTCTGTAGACCAGGCTGGCCTCGTAGTCAGAGATCTGCCTGCCTCTGTCTCTCAAGTGCTGGGGATTAAAGATGTGTGCCACGGCATGGGCAAGGAAGAGGTATCCCCTCCCACGCACCCATCAAGGCCTGCGGCAGATGGGAGAACTGTCCCCATTACTCATCTGTCATGTGATGGTATGCGGGGGTGGGGGGTGTTCCGCTCCAGCCCCACTGCCCCCCTCAGGTGGGAGAGCTGGCCCTGAGGTCCTAAGGGCAGAGTGGGAGAGCTGTCCATGCGCTTATTAGCTGCCACACTTAGGAGAGTGTGGACCGGGCAACTCAGTAGAGCTGGTCCTGGAGGTGTAGGTGTGGGAGAGCCGACCCTCACCCCTTGGTCATCCATGCAAAGGTGAACTAGCCAGGGCAATGCTGGAGAGCTCCCCCTGGAGGTGAAGACAGGGAGAGCCAGAGGGCTGACCAACCCTGCAACTGCCCAGGCCGAGAACCAGGGTTAAGTGTTGGCTCAGCCCAACACCCGCCCCATCTGTGATCTGCTGGAGCACAGGCAGGGGTGGGGTCTGAGGACCCAGGACTACAACCTCTCAAGGACGTAGGGCAAGCAACTGGATGCCCAGGAAAAGTCCCAGTGAGGGCCCAGTGTCTATAGTGTAGAAGAGACCAGGGCCTGGAACCAGACCAATGATTATTTGCGACGAACGCCTGCATGAACACCTGCATGTAAAGATGTACGGATAAACGGGTTTTTCTGTGTGGCTCACTGTGTCACGCTGCAGCTTCTATGACAAGATTTCCCCTTTCTTCCTTTCTCTTATTTTCATTTTTTTAATATTAAACTTTATTTTGTTTTATTTTGTGGGGGGAGGTTGCAGGGGCAGAGGGTGGATGTGAGGATACAGGAGAAGGGTGGGAGCAGGATGTATGATGTGAAAGACACAAAGAATAAATTTTTTTAAATCTTGAAAAAGGTGTGTGCCAGCTGTTTTATGTAGCTTTAATTTTTTTTTTTTTTTACTTATCTGGTAATTTGTTTCCACTGCATTTTGTAAACTAATACATCTATAATTGAATAGAATTTCTATAAGAAATGTTTCTTATCACAAGCAGTTTGAGAATCTCTAACATCTTCGTTGGTCTACTTTTCCCTTTCCTCCCTCTGCCCCCTTCTCTTTCCTTCCTTTTCTTTTTCTTTTTGGTGCTGTGAACATCCAACCCAGGGTCTTGCACAGCCCAAGAGAGTTCAAGCCTGCAGCTGCACCCCTTGCCCAGTAACTTTATTGTTCTCTTAAGATCCTTCTCCAAGTTGAAAGCTTTATAGTTTCCCTCAGCTTCCTTTTGAGTCCAGGAGTTATAAAGTAAATATTATTTATTTCCAAACTTGTAATTTTTCAAATATTTTTAGAATACTATGTAAATGCCACACTATGATCCAAGGACATGGCCTTGATGCTCTTGATTGGAGTTTTGCCAATTATTTTGGGGAAGGAGATTGTTGCTGAATTAGTCCACTGCACAAAAGGAACACAACTCGCTGGGCGTTGGTGGCGCACGCCTTTAATCCCAGCACTCGGGAGGCAGAGCCAGGCGGATCTCTGTGAGTTCGAGGCCAGCCTGGGCTACCAAGTGAGCTCCAGGAAAGGCGCAAAGCTACACAGAGAAACCCTGTCTCAAAAACCAAAAAAAAAAAAAAAGGAACACAACTCATAATCACTCTCCAGTATGAGTTATGTAGCAGAGGCCTGTTGATTGTTATTTCCTTTAAGAAGGAAACAAATAAACAACAACAAAAAAACTCAGGCCAAATGTAAATGAATACTTACTGGCTTTGTAAGCATGAGCTTTGGTCCATGGCACCACAGCCATGGTTGGAGTATTGTGAGGTGTCACAGGTCCACCCATTTGAGCCAAGGGGACAGCCTTCTGGGAAGGCTGCTGGCACAAGGCGGAACTCTGGCTCCACCTGGGAAACACTGGAGGCAGAAGGTACGGTGCGTTTCAGGATTGTGGCATTCACTCAAATCTACTAGCTGGGTCACAACTGTGTCCTTCAAATCTAGACACCAGGTCTTTGGCACTGGCTCCTACCGGCCAGGTCATCGCTTGATTTTTCTCTTACTGGCAAGTGGAGGAAACTCATCCTAAGTCTGAGTGCTGACTCCCCTTAAGTAAACATAGTAGGGCAGATTCCACTCTAGAGTTAACCAGGACACACAGTTAAAATGTTACAAAA